GCAGCAGCAGCAGCAACAGCAACCGCAACAACAGCAGCAGCAGCAGCAGCAGCAACAACAACAACAACAACAACAACAACACCCGCGACGACAAACAAAAACAACGACGAACCGATGACAACGGCAACGGTTCGCAGCGACAGCGACAACGACAACGATCGTCGCGATCCCTGGGATCGCTGTGATCGCTACCGTCATCGCTCTCGTCACCCCCTCTCGGAGGCGACCACTGGGGCGAATAGCCAAGGGTCGGGCATCTCGCGCATTCGCCCAGGAGCCTCCCCGAGGACATGGACCATCGGCGCCCCTGGATACATGGAATCGGCTCCTTTGGGCTATTCGCCCCTATCGTTAGGTCGGGCATGTCCTCCCACAGGCGGATTTTGGCAGAACAATGAAACATGGTCACAACATCAAAAATGATTAGAAATTCGCCGGCCCAACGGGCCAAGGGCGTGCTAAGATCTCCAGTAACTGGTTAACAATATTCTAGTTCGCGCGCGCGGGGCCACCCCTGGGGGTCCTCGGACGAAAAGTCCCCCGGGAGACCCCCGGGACACCCCTAAGACACTCGGATCAGAGATGCCAGACCGGGCAATTTCGACACCCCTCACGAGGATCGTGGCCTCCGAGGGGAGGGGCGCAATCGACAACCCCCCCTCCTGACCCAAGAGGTCCCCAAGAGCCCCCCAAGAGGCTGCAGGGGCCCACAAAACGCCGCCAAGGAACCCCAAGAGGCTCCCAAGAGGCCCCCCAGAGGCCTCCAAGAGGCCCCAAAAATACCCCCAAGAGGCCCCAAAGATCGCTGCAGGGCCAGTTCAGCTCATTCTTGGTGATGACAAATACACTCCTGGAGGATCGCCGCGAATCGACACGAAGCTGTTCCACGGGGGCCGCTTCAACACAAACATGCCGAACACAACGCCTCAGAAAAAAAAGCCGCCGCCCCCTGCAGCTCCGCACTGCCGACGACCTCTCAGCCAGTCGACCGCGGTGCGCAATATGGGCCGGCGGGATGAGCGACGCGATTGAATAAACGAAAATTCGCCCCATATTATGCTTTACCTATTTGTGAGTTTTCCTCCTGTACAGGGACATGCCCGACTGAAGGCTATTCGCCCCTATCGTTAGGTCGGGCATGTCCTCCCACAGGCGGACTTTGGCAGAACAATGGCACATGGTCAAAGCATCCAAAAATGATGAGACATAATAATAGAAAATTCGGGCCCATATTGTGCTTTGCCTACTCGTGAGTTTCCCACATGGTCAAAGCATCAAAGATGATTAAAACTAATAAAACATTCGCCCCCATATTATGCTTTGCCTACGTGTGAGATTTCCACATGGTCCAAACATCAAAAACGATGAGACATAATATAACATTCGCCCCCCATATTGTGCTTTGCCTACGTGTGAGTTTCCCACATGGTCAAAACATCAAAAACGATGAGAAATCATAGAAAAGTCGCCCCCATATTATGCTTTGCCTACGTGTGAGTTTCCCACATGGTCAAAACATCAAAAACGATGAGAAATAATAGAACAGTCGCCCCCATAGTATGCCTTGCCCACTTGCGAGCTCTCCTCCTGTACAGGGACGTGTCCGACTCGAGGCCATCCGCCCCCTGTCGCCGCCTCCCACCCTCCTGGGCCTCCGCGCGCCCCGCCCCCCGCGGGACCGCGGACAGGGAGGAGAGGATCCGGCCCTCCCGGCGCTCCGCGCGGCCGCCCGCGTCCTGCTTGGATCGGACAGCTGGGCGAGGGCTGCCAAAACCGTGGCTGCCAAAACGGCCCTCCCTCCTCCCTCCTCCCGTCTTCCTCGCCCCCCCCCCCCTCCTCCCCTCCTCCCCTCCTCCCGCCTCCCTCCTCCCCTCCTCCTCCCCTCCTCCCAGGTGGATATGACTGTCGAAAAGCACTCAGGGGGGATCGGGTGTTGAGTGTCATCTTGGCAGGTACTGTCGGTTTTCTTAACTTAAATCGAGCTGTAGATGGGGTGCGGCTGAGATGCACACCAATCGGCAGAAATAAGAAAGAGCGCTAATCTCCAGTATCTAGACACCGACCGCCCCAGCATCCCTGCAGGCCTCTGCCACGACATGTTCTCTCTGGAAACCTCCCAGGAATGGGTCAGAGCAGGTGGGGTCGGAGGATCGCGCCGCATCGGCGATGCATCGGCGATGCACTGGCGCCACATCGTCGACGTCGGCGATGCATCGGCGACGTCGACGTGAAGCAAGTCGGGCTGCACATCGAGCCGCATCGGCGATGCATCGGCGATGCGGCGCGATCCTCCGACCCCATCTACTCCGACCCCATCTAGGACGCCTATATTCTCAGAGCCCAACAATGCTCTGAGAGCAAACTCGCTGTTCTTAGAACGTAGACCCGAGGTGTGAAGCGGAGGGGAACAAGTATCGCATTGGGAAGAAGAGGTTGGGAGGGTGAAGAGTATGAGCAATAGCATCCGGATGCAATGCACGATACCTTCGACCGCCTACGGGTAATGATATCCTCATCTCTCCCAGAACCATCCTCCTAACCCGATAATTGCCTTCCTGAGAAGATGTGCTAAAATGAAACAGTCTCGGCGAACATGCTCTGGTGGGCCTGCAGGCAAGCCAGGACGCTTCGCCACTGCTCGATCCTCGTCCACCAGCCAGCACTGGGCCGAGACCCTCCAGAAGGTGAACCCGGAGACGCCGAAGCGGCACGTCACCGACCACAGCAAGAAGGTCCCCACCTGAGCGACGAAAATGGGGAGACGTAAGACGGGTTCGGGGGACTCGGGTTGCCCTGACGAGGCCATCATGAAAATGACAAGACCCAGTCTGAAATTTGACGCGACCCCCCGCTGCAGACATCCCACGAAAACTAGACCGTCAAGATCCAATCCGCGAACGTCAGAAAGCGCCAGTAAACCCAAGTGCCAGCGCACTCGAGACTTACCCTTCCCCGAGAGAAGAGCGAGGTGCTGCGATGCCTCCGGGGCGGATCCCAGAAGAGAGGCTCGCCTCCGGCGCCGCCTCCTCTCCGGTGGCATGCCCGCGGCAGAGATCCCGGCATGGGCGGACGGGAGCAGAGAACGGGAGCGGGCACGCCCCGAGAGGCTCGGCGGACGGGAGCAGAGAAAGGGGGCGGTCTGCTAGGAGGCAACTGCTGGGAGGTCTTCGCCGGAAGAATGAGAGAGGCAGCGGAGAGCACGAGCACGAACGCGGGGCACGAGGATGTCCTGAGGCCAAAAGCGGTGCTCGCATCGGGGAGACGTAAGGCTCGGGTGCGGGGGGGCACGGGTTGGCCCGACGGGGTCAACACAAAAAATGACGAGCAGACTGCGGATTCAGCGGGCCTAAGCCGGATGAAGCAACATTCTGCGGGATTTCGACGGACTCAGCGGGATTCAGCCGGATCGAGCTGGATTTCGGAACAGGGCTGGGTCAGAATTTGGCCTCCCTGCGGGCAATACTCATATCCATACCCAGCGCGTCTGCGACTCTCTTGGAAGGGGCACCGCACGGCCGAGGCGCACTGGATCGAGCCTCTATGGGGGCCCGATTCCGATGCATCTCCAGCGCGCCTGGGGGCTCTGGGGAAGGGAGCCCGCAAGTCCGAGCCGTGGTGGATACGGGCACAGGTCTTGCCCGCGCTCCCCGGGAGCTGCGCCCGAAGGCCCGGAGTCGCCGGCAGGACCTCGGGCCCTCGGGAACTTCTTGGGGCGAGCGACCGCCTGCCCTTCTACTGAAGGGGCCCCAGGACACACAACTAAATGCGCACAAATAAGACAGATCCCCATATTTTCTTGTATGTTCTGGGTTCTTGTCTTCCCCCCCCCCTTCCCATACCTTCCCCTAGTTTCTGGGGAGTCGAGGACTCATCGTGTCTGTGTGTTTCTTCCCCCTCCTGCAGGATCTGCCTCGGCCAGACGCGAGGAGCGACCCCGGGGCAAAGCGTGAGCTGTGGTGCGCCGCTCCTGGGGGCTGCCTGGGGGGGCCCAACCCCGGCGCGCAGGCCGCTGCCGCCGCCTCGCCCTCGGCGAACCAATCGGCGACGGAGGAGGAGGAGGAGGAGGAGGAGGAGGAGGAGGAGGAGGAGGAGGAGGAGGACGAGGAGGAGGACGAGGAGGAGGAGGAGGAGGAGGAGGAGGAGGAGGGGGAGGAGGAGGAGGAGGAGGAGGAGGAGGAGGGGGGCGGGGCGCCCGGCGGGGCCCGCCCGCAACCGGCGCGAAGCTCGGGGCGAACGACCGCCCGCGACGGGCACGGGGCGGCTCCCTCGCGGACGCGGGCTGCGCCCTTCCCCGGCCGCCCCCCGCGCCGGCCCTCGCGAGGGGCACCGTGTGGGCCCGGGGCCGAGTCGAGTCGAGGCGGAGGAATATCGGAGGGATCGGAAGGCGCCCTGGGGAGGCTTCCCGTGAGCGCCAGCGACGGGGGCGAGGCCGCGGTGACACGACGCGAACCTGCCGTGCTGCGTGGCTTGTCGCAGCGCGCCATCCGCAGGGCAGCCGACATCGCGCCTCGCTCGAGGCGCGCGACGTCGCGCCCATCGCGGCCAGACCTGGGGAGGGGCACCTCTTCGGCCCAGGCCACAGCTGCTTGGTTAGTCGCAACACGGGACCACCGACCTCGCGGGTCGAGGATACGCGCAGGCCAAGACCCCCCCTCGCGCTGGGAAAAAACAACGGAAGGTTTGTCATGATTTCCCGCCTCCGGGGGCCGTTGCCAGGCCTCGGGACCGTCAAACAGCGACTCGGGATGAAAAGCCAGCCCCAGGGAGGGGGTCCAGACCTCTGGGGGTCGACGTTGCAACAACAAAAAAAAACACGACGTCGGGGGTCTGGGGAGGCAGGATGAGCCAGTATCGACTTCGGGGATCGGATCGGATCGGCACGTGCGTCGGATCGGGCTGCATCGGCACGGACTCGAAGGCGAATCGGATCGGCCACGTCAAGATGTACAACTGCGCTGTGCCAATATCGGACGGCATCGGATCGCCAGAAAGTCGGAATCGAATCGGATCGAGAGGGCAGGAGCCTATATCGAATCGAATCGATCGAATCGACACGGACCCTAGGATTGCGTCGGGCCTGTCACCCTACAGGAGGATTTTCGACGAAAAATAAAAATACCCTCAAAATAATCAAACAATTGTCAAAAAATAGTCTAGGAACTATGTTTTAAATATTTTTTAACCTTTTCGGTTTCGCTCAAAATACCCCTGTAGGGGGACAGGCCCGACTTAACCCTAGGAAGGGGGAGGAAATGGGCGGCTTGGGGGGGGTTCACGAAAGCAGGAGAGCCAGCTGCATAAGCAGAAGCATTCGGAGGTCCGCGCGGGCTTCCTGGATGTGCGCTGGACCCTCCCCCGTGACGCGCGGAGCGCACCAGGGGCGACGCCGGAGGCGCCGCCAGAGGGATCCGGCGCAGATCCCAATAATCCGCGCGGACTTCCGGGAGCCAGCTTGAGCTCTGCCAAAGGAACCTGGAAATTCACAACGGGCTGCTGAAGGGGCGAGAAGGCTCCTGGATGCCGGAAAAAGCAATGCAGGACCTCGACCCACAAACGCCCCCATCCCCCCCCAGCACCCTCCCCTAGAGCTGTTGGCGCTCCGCGCGGATATCTTGGATCCGCGCAAGACACCCATCGCGGCGCGCGGAGCGCGCCAAGGGCGAGGCGCCGCCGGGAGGGCCCAGCGCGGATCCAAGAAATCCGCGCGGAGCTCCAACAGTTTATATCTATGCCGTTATTTCTTCTTCGATCCCCGTGGCTGCGCTGGAGCCACCGACGGGGTGAGAACGAACATCACGAACACGGTGGCGGCGGCGTTCAGCAGACGCATGGCCACAACGTACCACAGCAGCCACCTGTCCGCCCTGCCCTCAACGTCGAGGAGCCCGTCCCCACGGCTGAACGCCCACATGTAGACGACGTTCATCACCGTCTCGGTACAGCCAGCAGCCGCGCCAGCGGCCAGTATCACGGCACTCCGCCCGGCGCCGTACATCCCTAGCACGTAGGTGATGTATAGAGGAACAAAAAACAGCACGCGCATACATTTCTGGAGGTCCACGGATGTCGCGGATCCGCGCTGACCCAGCGCGCGGGGCAAGCCATGGGTGGGACCAGCGCCGACCCGAGAAATCCGCAAGGGGCTCCAGAAGATTATGTTCGTGCCGTGGTTCCTTCTCCCAATGTAGTAGTACAGCATTGACGCGACGGACGCGCCGTATGCGCCGTTCCAGAACTTCAGGGCCCACATGTGCCGCAGGGCGCAGTTCCAGCTGCCTCGCCGGAAGGCCTCGCGCCAAACGCTCACGCTGGCCACCTCGGACTGCCCCGTTGCGGCCTGAGGGTCCTTGATTCTAGGGCTATCTCTGAGACCGCTCCGGGCTTGACGCATGATTGGCACCGCCACCAGGCTTATCAAGGAGGCTAACACGATGAACGCCGAACACGCTATTCTGTAGTTCAGCCGAGCGTCCATGAAGATGACCATTGTGGGAAGACCACCCAGGCCGCCGCCAAACATGCACGCGTACTTGCAAAGACCCTCGACGACGATCCGCTCCTCCTTATAGGGATAGATCTCCTGCCTCGCGGCCTCGAATGCTAAGACTGCCCCGTTAAAACTCCAAAACATGGCGCCGACCGTGACGAAGTACCACGCGTGGTAGACGTGCATGCTCACGCCGTGCACGCCGAACGAACCTGGTGGCAGGTACACGAGGCCGGCGGCGACGGCTCCCAGAATGACGTGGGTGAGAAGCCAGGGAGCGCGCCGCCCCCAGGTTAGGACCGGGAAACAACTGCCGAGGTACTCCTTGTCCTGCAAGAACCCCACGAGGACGGGGAACAGAGGGCCCGCAAAGCACAGGACGGCCGGAGAGCCAGAAGACAGGATGCACAAACGTTACCAGAGGACAACACAAGCATATACGGTCGAAGGAAACAACCGTGCAACAACGACGCCCGAACTGGAAAGAAGCAAATTTCCCCCTCCCTCTGGTCAACGTTGGCAAGAGTTGCGCTCGAGATGTTGGGCTCCAGATTCCTCCGGCCCCGGCGCCAGACGCCAGAAGCCCTGCCTGCAGCCTGGCACCCCTCGCCAGCAGCCATGGGGAGGGAGGAGGCCCTTATGGCGTCATCCTCGCGGAAGTGCTGGGTCATCACGACGGCCCAGGCAGCTATGCAGAGGCCTCCCAGATTGAGTCCGAGTAGATGGTAGACGGGGTCGGAGGATCGCGCCGCATCGCAAATGCATCGCCGATGCACCGACAAGTCATCGGCGACGTCGGCGGTGCATCGGAGACGCCCGTGTGGAGAAAACCGGGCTCCACATGGAGCCGCATCGCCGATGCATCGGCGATCATCTACTCCGGCCCTATTTGGGAAGCCTGTACTATATCAACCTGGGGCGGTGGGGGGTCCTTTTCTATGTGGTTCCGAAGCGTCTGTTGTAAACTGTTGCCCTTCAGTGGTGCTTGTTCGGACGTCCGTGGGCGGCATCCCCGCTGGCGCGACAACCCCCCCTCCCACCGCACCAGGGGGGCCACGGCCATCAGCGCCCTCTCCGCCGCGCGCGCCGCGCGGCAGGGGAAGGGGGGACAGCCCTTTACCCCGGGACCCCTGGATGTCTGGAGCAACGCGCTGACGCAGGAAACGATCGCGTTAGGTCGGGCATGTTCCCCTACAGGCGGATTTAAAAAGAAAAATCAAACATAGTCAAAACATGCTAAGCCAAAATTCATAAATCTCGAAAAATCGTCCAACAATTATTGTTTGACTACTTTTGAATGTTCGTCGTGTAGAGGGGCACGCCCGACTTAACGGCAGCGGGCGCTTGCTTTCTCGGACCCGAAGCGCACGCCGCCCGCAGGAGTTCCATATACTGCCCGGGTGCCGGTGCAGTAATTACGGCAGGTTCATGTCGCCGACTTCTCGGCGGTGGCTTCTAACAACGACGCGGGGACCGTTCCACCTTGCAGGATCGGCCATTTCCGAAACCAGGGCTGGACCTAAACGCTGTTGTTCGTTTTGTTTTCGTTCGGTTGTTCGTTTTGCTCGGCCTGTCTTTTTTTACGTCCCTGCCAAAACGAACAACAAAACACAGCCGAAGTCCAGCAACACAGCGTTTAGGTCCAGCCCTGTCTGAAACGTCAGATCGCTCAACATCTGAAAAAGGGGCCCCGGGGACACACAAATACATACACACACGAAACCATGATTCCCCAGATTTTCCTAAAACAGATATGTGTGTATATATATACACACACTAGAACCACGCGCGCTACGCGCGCTTAGGTTGTAGTCACGGCATCATGGCGACAAAAAATGCCACGGCAAGCAGTGCCATCGACAGCGCATCTCCATGCCATCGAAGGGGGGGCCCCTTGCAAGCATGCCGTGTCGACGAAGTCGTTCGGGGGGCTGTCTTGGGGTGATCGCCGGCGTCGCAGGGATCTTGGAGCGTCCCTGGTCGCTCTGTGGCCCTACTGGTGCGCGCCGATCCTCCCATGCGGATCCATCTGGGGACAAGATTGGGAGCCTCTGGGGCCGAACCGGGACGGTCTGGGCGTCCTCTGGGGCTGCCGTGCAGCGTGGGGATGCAGAGCAGGCTGCACGGAGAAAAACGTTGAAAAATATGGGAAACCAAAATGTCTGATCTTTGGAGGAGGCCTCTGGGAGGCCTGTGGGGGACCTGCGGCACCAAGCGGGAGCAACCTCTGGAGCTCCCTGCAACCTCTTGGGGCTCTGTTGGCTCCGGGTCGCCGAAACCCTGGAAAACAAAAGGAAAATAAGGCCCCGGGCCCCCCATGCGGCATGCGCCGCCGAGGTCCCTGGGCGGGACCCCCCCGGCCACGTCCCCCGACACACACACACAGACACACACACACACATCTATATATATATATATATGCATGCGTATATGTATATGTATATATATATATATATATATGCATGTATGTATATATATATATACACATATATAGATTAACCTCATGCCCATGATAATAAACACTAGGGGATAATAAAGTTCGGGGTTCAGGGAGAGATAATAAAAGTAGCCCAGCAGACCTCAGCATAATCTCAAAGTAAGAGATGATCAAGAGGAGACCAAGCCGAGCACGTTTTGAGACATCCTTGGCGTTTAGTTTTCATAGAAATATCCTCAACAATGGCTTATCTCTCATGAAAATTGTTTTTTGTAAGTGCTCGTGTAGGGTAGCTCATGTGCCTCAATTTCCATGGATAATCAACCCCAGGGATAAAAAAGTTCAGGCGAGCGTGGGGACACAGAGAAATATAAAAGAAGAAGAATGCAGTAGAAGAATAATAAGAAAGAAGAAGAAGAGGATAATAAGAAGAGGACGAAGAAAGGAAACATCCAAAGTTCCAAATCTATCAATTTTAAGTTACAAACGCTTTATGAAAATGGATTGTTTAAGTGCTCGTGTAGGGTAGCTCATGTGCTTCATTTTCCATGGATAATCAACCCCAGGGATAAAAAAGTTCAGGCGAGCGTGAGGACAGATAGAAATATAAAAGAAGAAGAGGAAAGTATAATAATAATAAGAACATTGCTCGTTTCGTTTGAGTCTGCCTCCCAAAATTATTGGTTTCGCTTGACACATCCTGAAAAAGTGTGATCGCTTCGCTTGATGTTGCTATATCAACATCGCTTGATGTTGCTATCTCAACATAGCGTTTCGAGGTGATAATGAAGTTCGGCCTCAGCGCTCGCCGCCCAATTTGAATTTTGTATAGGGCGACGATAATCAACTCTAAACACTGAAGGGGGGGGTCCCTTCATTATCATCGGCATGCGGTTATGGATGTTCGTACTCCCCCCCACTTCCCTGAATTTCCCATATTTGCCCGGGAACCGACGATTACTTGCGTCTGTGTGTCTTCTTCCCTCCTGGAAATCGGCCGACTCTGGGTCGCGGGCGGCGTCCAATGTTGAACGCAGGGCGGTCGGGTCGCCGCGCTGGTCGACACGACGTGAACCTGCTTTACGTACTCTCGCAGGCCCGAAGAACGCCTGCCGTAGGAAGTCCAAGTTTCCCCAGGCCCAGGTCCAGTACACGGGGCCCCTTCGGGGGGATATTTTTGCGCCAGCGGGGTGAGATCGCCCGCGAGCGTCCGAAAGAACGTGCGTGCTCGTGCGTCGGGGAGACGTAAGACTCGGGTACGGAGGACTCGGACTGGCCTGACGGGGCCATCATAAAAAGGACGAGACCCAATCTGAAATTTGACGCGATCTCCCGCTGCAAACATCCCACGAAAACTGGACCGTCTGAATCCAGGAAGCGCTCGTCAAAACACGTCGGCAAGACCGAGTTCCGGCTTACTCAAGTCTTACGTTTCCCCGAGTGCGGCTTCCAAGGCTCTCCGGATGGTGAAGAGGAGCCAGAGGACGTAGCCGTCGCACCCGAATTTCTCCAGATACACATCCTTGTTCGGTGGCAATTCATGGGAGCATACCATTCCATCTTGTCGGCTCGTGCGAATCGACGCAAATCGACGCTAGCCGACACTAATCGACGATGCATCGACGCTCATCGACGCTGAACGGCGCTGAGTCGGCGCTATCTCGTCGACTCTCAGATGCTAATCGACGCTAGTCGACGCTAAAGACGGAATTGAGAGGGTATGCCAGGCCTTAGTGGGCCCCGGAAACGGCAAGGCCGTTTTTTCACCGTTTGCGAAAAAAGTGATCCTTGAAGATGGAAACGGGAAAAAAATGGCGACCGGAAACGGCAACAGAAACGGCTCCAGGATTAGAGCCAGAGCGGGAACCCGTAAAAAACGGCGACGGAACCGGTAAACAAACGGCGTCGGAACCCGCAAAAAACGGCAAAACGGAACTGGTAAAAAAACGGCCCTGCCGTTTCCAGGGCCCACTAAGTGCCAGGCTCCCATGATCTGCGGCCGAGTCCTTCGCGGTCCCCGCGACGGTGGTCACCAGGAACGAGCTCGTCAGGGACAGGGCGAAGCGCGCCTTCGTCGGGATGGAGTGCCCGGAGGGGCCGTGGGGCTCCGCGAGCTGCCTCTCTCGGGTCGGGCGAAAGGGGGGGATAGCAAAGGGGAGGTTTGAGAATCAGCTCACGTAGCTGATTTTCCCGGCGCCTCCCGGCGCCAGGAGCGCCCACGTGTCGAGGAATGGGCCCCTCGGTGAGGCCGACACCAGCTGCATGCAGCAAATTTCGTAACCCCCCCTTTCCCAATCCCCCCCTTTCGTCCGGCCCGGCTCTCTTTGATGCGCCCCAGCTCTTGGGGGGCAGTGGCACGCGGTGATCAACCAAAAAAGGACCCCTAACCTTATGTTGCTCCCATCGTACTTAAGGACCACATCCCAGAAATGATTTCGAACACCCGGAAAAGGGTCGACAGAGTGTCGAAAGAGTGTTGGGCGAGTGTCTCCCGGGGCCCGACACGTGAAAACCATAGAGTTTCGGTATACTTTTCTGGTGCTCGAGATTCTTTCTGGTGGTCAAGGCTAAAGTAGGCTGGAACATCATACCCCTGACCCTTTGGGAGGAGACCTAAGGCAGGAGGGCCAAAAGCATGAGGGATAGGCGGCCTGTTCTGCAGACGTGGCGAGCCAAACCGCCCAGCATCAGTACACGTCGGTCGGAAGGAGTAGATAGAAACCTGAAGTTGCAAGGCGGACATAGTAGATTGGGCCCAGGTCGTCCCAGATAATACCAAAACAAAGCAAAAGCATGTCGATTCTTGAAGAAGGAAGGCCCTTGAAGTACCCGGGAAGCAAACAGTACCCCCCCTCGGCGATATCGTTAGCACAGAAAATAAAATAATTATTTTGGGCGGCGCCCTCCGGCGATATCGCTAGCACATAAAAAATACATAAAATAATTAATTAAGTTGCCCCGCCCGGGCCCGAAGCTGGCGGCAACGTGGGGCGACAGCCTGAAGAAGCAATGCGCACGAACGCTCGCCAATGGGTTCCCGCCTCGCTAGAACATTGGGAAACTGACGCGCATCGGAAATCAAAGGTAAATCAAAAATGACAAACAATGAAATCACCGCAAGCAACTATACTTGAAAGGACCCCCCAAAGGAATCCCAGAGGAATCTCAGAAGGAAGCCGACGCAGAATTTCAAAGGAACCCGATTGGAAATTCAAAGAAATATCAAAGAAATCTCAGAGAAATCCAACAGAAATCGCAAAGGGATCTCAACGGCAGCTCAAACGAACCACGAAGGAATCTAAGGAATCTGGAAAACGCGGGCTCGCGTGGACATAAGCAAACTGTATTGCGACCGTAATAGGGATTTTTTTGTTTTTCCCAGAGGGTCCTATGGGAGAGTCCACGGAGGGACATCGCAGACGGATTCCGCGAACCCCCCCCCGCGATATGTTAGCACATTTATTGAAAATGAAATAACCCACAGGCACCAGAGGTCGACGTGATGCTCCCTTCAGGGATTGTCGAAGGAATGTCAGAGGAACTCGAAAGGACCCCCAAAGGAATCCCATGATAATATCACAGGGAATCCCACGCATAATATCAAAGGAACCAAATGGAAGTTCAAAGCAATCTCAAAGGAGCCCAACAGAAATCGCAAAGGCATCTCAGCGGCAGCTCAAACGAACCACTAAGGAATCTAAGGAATTTGGAAAACGCGGGCTCGCGTGGACATAAGCAATCCCTAGTGCGACCGCACTAGGGAAATGGATTCTTTCAGGGGATCCTATGGGAGAGTCCACGGAGAGATATCGCAGACGGATTCCGCGAACCCCCCCGCGATATGTTAGCACATTTATTGAAAATGGAATAATCCACCGGCCCCGGATGTCGATGTGATGCCCCCTTAAGTAATGGGGCATCAAAGGGATATCACCGGAACCTCAAGGGACCCCCAGTATAACATCAAAGGAACACCAGAGGAGTCTCAAAGGAGTCCAAAAATAATCACAATGGAAATGGCAAGGAATCTCAAAAGAAGCCAATCGGAGTATCAAAGGAATCTCTGAGGAATCTCACAGAAACGCACAGGATCACAGGAAGCGACTCTGGGCAGGTGTGCCTTGTCGCTGGGCTCTGGACTACAAGGGGGCCCGGCATTCAGCAGCTTGTGGAGGCCTTTCTGGATGCCTCCTGGGAACCTCCGGGGACCTCCCCTCCGCGGACCTTCCGCCTTGGCCCCGGCGCCGGAAGCGCTATAATTTCCTCTGATGAGGGGGGGGGGGAGGGGGGTTTACTGATTGCTTCCCGGGGTATCCAAAATTACAAATTTTCAACGACCCGCATGTATCCCTGATGCGAAGACGGGGACCTCAATGAAGCCCCGTCTTCATCGTGTTATTAGGGGGTGGGGGCTCTGTTGCTCTCGATGAAACGGGGGGCGATGCCCGACGGCCGGTGTTGCCATAAGCTACCGGCGACCGGCGCGGGCCACGCGGACTGCGACGCCGGCAGCGGGGGCCCCTGAGAGCCTGGCGTCGCACACCGATGCACGACAGGCGGTTTCGCCAGGCGTCGGTCCCTGGGGCCATCTGCCAAAACGAAAAACAAAACACAGCCGAAGTCCAGCAAAACAGCGTTTAGGTCCAGCCCTGGAATAAAGCGCTAACTCCCCAGAGATCCGACGCTCCCAAGAGGCTGGAGTGCGGGCAGGATTTCTATCCACATCCAGTGCGTCTTGGACTTTCTTGGAAGGGGCGCCGCAAGGCCTGGGCGCACCGGATATGGATACAATGCGATCCTCTATGGGGCCAGCCTCTCGTCCATGTCCACTGCGCCTCCGGCTTCTGGAAAAGGGGGCCCGAAACTCCAAGCTGCAGTGGACGTGGACCCAAGTCTGGCCCGCATGGAGCGGCGGGTTTTTGCCTGTCGGCCTCGGTGGGCCCTCGCTGAACCACGCGGGACCGTCAGAAAATGAGGCTCAGGACGAAGAGCCAGCCTCGGGGAAGTGGTCCAGACCTCTTTTTTTTCCAATCCCATTGCCTGCGCGGCTGAACCAACCACGCAGCAGAGACAACGGCCCTGACAGGGTGACTCTCACCTCAGACAGGGAAAAGCTTCTCACCTAAGTGAGGCAGACGCGCGAAGCGCGGAAATAAGCACAACTCATACTAGAGAGGCGCATTGGTGACTGGGTGGCGGCCAGCAAGGGTGCGCCGCACACTCGTGTCCGCGCCCAGCCTAGTGCTTTTACTTTTGGGCACGCCCTTACACGTGGCCCTCAAGTTCTTCGCATTCCCGACAGATCCGACAACAAAAAGCGTCTCCACGCCCCACAGATCCGACAACAAAAAGCGTCTCCACGCCCCTCAAGTTCTTCGCATTCCCGACAGATCCGCCACTTGGTACGCCCCACAGATCCGACAACAAAAAGCGTCTCCACGCCGCGCGCAGTCGTGGCCAAGAGACCTGAACAGCACGTCGATATCTGTGGCAGGGGCAGGGGCAGAGGTGGCACATCCACAAGCGGACCGTCGTCGGACATGACCACGGCCTGCAGGGCGAGCAAATACGAGCGCTCCATGGGCACCACGTCGCCAGCAGGAAGCTGGCTGAACACTCTCCCCGCACTCCAACGTTGATGCTGAGACGGCTCGCACCCCTTGGCGCGAGGAGTGGCAAACATATTCTCATACGTCCGAACCGTCCTCGCATACATGTTACACGAACGACAACGGACCTCATTCGTCGACTTCACCCACACCAGAGTGTGATCTGTAACGCTCACTGGTGGCACCGCTGGTGGGTGCTTGGTGGGCCGAGGTGGGCACTGGTCGGGTTCAGACGCCTTGGCAAATTCAACTCTGTGAGCCACCGCCCGCGACACATAGCGAGCGAACAACTTCGCCTCCTTGAGCGCCATTTTATGCACATCAGCGAGCATCTGAGCCACAGCAATATCCTGGGCCCCAGCCTTCGCGAAAAAGTCGGCCCAGGCGTTGCCCAGGACCCACGAGAACGGAGCGCGGCCACTCAGGGGCGCATCTTCGAGCGACGAATGGGCGGGCACCCGCGCAAAGGAGGGCGGGCGCGCGTGCTCTTTCTCGATAAGATTAAAGAAACGACGCCAAACTAAAGCATGCTTGGCGGTGCCCCTGGCTAGATCGGGAGACCAATCCAATCCTTCTGACACCAATGACGACAAGTCCGAGACCACGAGGTCCAGGGGGAGGCGCAGCTGCTTGTCCCTGAATGCGGCCCAGCGCTCAGCATCGGCGAATGCCACCGTGCCCCAACTTCTGGAGTCAGACCCCCAATCGCCCCAGAGCAAGGTAGGAGGGTCGAGGGGGGGAGGTTGAGGCGTTGGGGGCTCGAAGGGCAAACCCAGACACATGGCCGCATGATCCTCGCCGGCCCTGTCTAGGCTGATCGTTCCGCGTTCCTGGATACGGTCGCGGATCTCAGCCAACTCCTCTGGCATATTTCCACGGTCTTCATCGTCCAAGCTCGCCTTCAGCGAACCGCACTTAACTATTACATGTGAGTAGGTTTCAGGCTCGGTGCTGCGCAACGCACGCACTCCCGAACACTCCAACGAACACTGAGCTTTCCGAGCCTGAGTCCAGATGCCTCCTGCCCACAGTGCCCTGCGAGCTCCAGCATGGGTGGCATGCTTTACAGCCGCGGGCGGCCCACCAACGCAACACCTCACGGCACGCGTCCACACCAGGCCGTGCCGAGGCAAATCCACGCGGCGATCGAGCAGTCTGCGCGCTTGCCACCTCTGTATGCTGGACCGGAGCCGCTCTCGGACATCAGCGGGGGGGACATGCAACAGCGAACAACTGTTGCCACAATCGTCTACAAGCTGCAGCGACGACGCCATGTTCCAATCAATTCGTCTAAGCGAGACCCAAACAACAGCCAGAGGGCCATCAGCCTGGGCCCAACTCGAACTGCACTTCGAAAACCTCTCGGCAAGGGCCCTCCAGGCCCTTTCAAGCCTACCGAGCGCAACTGTGGCATCCCAGATGGCCTGCGAGTAAGCTACATCAGGGCTCAGGGTGGCATCGTATATGGGTCATACCAGGGGTCCTTCTGGGTCATAAGGTAGGCCGTGAGACCAGTTGAGCCTTCCTTAGCTCCACACAGGGCCACCGCAGCACGCCTCCGGGTCTGGAGGTCCTTGTCAGGGGTCCCGCTGACGGCGGCGCAGTGATTCGCAGCACTCAAGAGCCCCGATCTCCAGATGACCGACACTTTGTTGCCCACAGTCCGTCTGGAAGCTTTTACCCTGACCACTCTCTTTTTCAACTTGGGCATGCGAACCCTGGTCTGGTGTCGGCGTCGGTCGGTGCCGTGCAGCTCGTGCCCGAGGTTCCTGATGCTGGACCTGAGCGGGATTCCGATCGCCGGCGCCTGTTTGCTGACTATCTTTTTGGCCTTCGGGCAGGCCGCCACCAGACCGGATTTCTCCACCTGGAGAATGAGCCCAAGGGGCCTGGCCAGCATGATGAATTTCTTCACAGCCTCGAACAATAAGTACAACATCTTAGTGTTGGCGCCCACCCACTGCAATGTCAGATCGTCCACCAGTGCCCGTGGGATAACGCCGAATCCGCTCAGACGTCTCATAATTCTGCTGGTGAGGTGCGTCAGCAACATCGTGGAATGAGAGCACCCCGTCAATGTCCCCTGTGTCGTCGCAAACTGCGTGGACCAGGAATCGTATGCTTTGACCACCCTAGGTTGCTTGTAATATTGTAGCAGCATCCACAACAATCGCATGGGATATCCGCACTTCCGTCCTCCCTCGAGCAAAGCGCGAGGGTTCACGCACTCGAAGCATTTGCACGCGTCAAGTATTGCCGTCGCACTCGTCTCTCCGAGAAGCTTGGCCACTTCAGCCTCCAGGTTGCGAGCAAAGGCCGAATGGCTGGAGGATCTGCCGGGGCCGCCGCAGCCCCAGATGTCAGGCATGCTCGCCTGCTTCAGCCACGCTTTGGAGAGGGGGGAACGTGCCTTGGACCACAGCCGTACCAACGTCTGCACCAGCGCAATGAGTCGGTGCCCATTGCCGTCCCCCTTCGGTAGCCGAACCAGTTCGTTGATGATCCGTTCGTCTGGCCATATGAGACGCTCCTCACACTTGTTGAATCGATCAGCGATGGCCGTGGGCCCTGCATCTGAGACCTGCGCAAGCGCCCGTGGCGCAATACGACTAGGCCCCGACGCAGTGCGCGTGGAGAAGGAGAGGCAGGCACGACGCAACTGAGGTCCTGATAGCGGCGGCAGTGCGGCCCAGCGCACAGCATCCGTCGGCAAGGTTAGCGGGTCCAACTCGTGACAGCTCCACACTTCCTTCAAGGCCGCCAGCTCGCGCTCCACCAACACGCGCGGCTCCCCAACCACGGAGGCGCCTATAACTTCCTGCAACGCTCTGCACTTCGTCGCTCGATGCGCCTGGCCAGTGCCACTGCCAATGAACGCTTGGTGTGCCCAATCTTTCCACTTGGCATTCCGAACGCTCTGGTCCTGTTGCAAGTGGATCTTGGCAGCATCCTGAATCGCCACCGCCTGCGGCTCAAAGTCATCCAAGCTGATAACTTTGAGGCCGTGCAAGAAGTATGTCGCGACCCAGTCAGGCAAGCGCTTAAACGTGTCTGACTTCCGCAGTATTCGTTGAAAGAACGCCTGAAGCTCGATGAAAAACGACACTATGTCCTCGAACTGGGAGGGGCTCAGCGTGCACAGTGCATTTGCCGCCTGCAGCCTCTGGATCTTGGTCTGCATCTGCTTGCGCGAGCCGATGAGGTGCTGAGCCCACCTGGCCGCGGCACCCCACGCACGCGCCGTGGCGCCTTGCTGCAGCCTGACCGCAGGCGGCTTCCACTGGCGGGCCACCCACTTCGTTCGAATAGCGCCTCCTCTTCCACCCCGTCGTAAGCGCTCTTTACCCGTGACGTCCCAACGATCGAGCAGCTCATTCTACGTCTCCATTACGACGGCGCCCCACGCGATCTGAAAGCCGGCTTGGCAGCCAGCGATCTGGATGAGCTCATGGACCCGCCCCCAGTCCCGAGGCGGTCTGGCACAGCCAAGTGGCGGCACCGCTCCGATCGGCGACGGTTCGTCGGGCACACGGCGCCACATGGGCACATCGATCAACCTCAGCGGGTAGACGACAGGCCTGTGAGGCGACGCGGGCGCCTCCTCATCTACCTCAGGCATGCCAATCTTCGTGACCAGGTTGGCCGCCACCAGCGCATAATCAAGGCCGCCACCAGCGCATAATCAATGATAGAACCATCTCCCTGTCGGCAAGTAGTGGCAGTAGTCGCAATTGCTACCCCGCGAAGGGCATGGATCCAACCCAGGCCTAACTCCTCCACCGTCATGTTGAAATCTCCCAGCACAGCCCAGTCCATGCACAAACAGTTTAGCATGTGTATATACTGCAGCACCGTGCTCAGCGTCTCGTCGTTGGCTGGGCTATGTCCTTCGCTGGGCCGAAGGTATGCTGAGAGAAAGACTATGCCTCGCTTAACTCCCCAGTGAACGTGGGCAGCGACAACCCTACCTGCCTCCAGCACTGGGGTCGCCGTCGCGGGAGGGCAGGTGAGAGAGATGTGGCTCTTGGCCAACGCAGCCACTCCAGCGGACGTGCCACTGCCTTTGCCCGCTGCAATCGCTGGAGCCCAAATGCCGTGATACCCGACATCGTGCAACCTCGACTGCACTCGATCGAGGTGGTCCGTCGTGGCGTGGTGTTCCTGAACCCCCAGTGCCGCATGCCCAGGCTTGCCACCCAAGTAATCACACAGCGGCCCGTGCGACGTAGCATTGACGGTGGAGAAGTAGCCCTTTACCTCATCACGCTTCCCAGCTGACACGCCCCCCTCGCAGAGCACGTCGACCCGCGCCCTGCCGCCGAGCTTGACCGCGCTACATCGGCAAGAGGCCTCGGCGCAGGCGAGGGCCCACGCACATCAGCAACCAACACCTGCCCGTGCCCACGATTATCTGTGACGATCCCGTCCACTGCCGTGAGACCCGCCGCTGCAGCAGGCCAATGTCCACGATGATCAAAGCAGACCCCGACATCTGGCACGCGACCGTCTCCACCGCAGCGAGCCCCATGATCTGAGATATGTGGACCCGCTTCGTCATCAGCCCCCCAATCCTGGAAGCCGCTGCCGTGGTAGTCATCAAACGCGAACGGGTCTACGCCATTGTCGCCCATCAAGCTGCGAGGGACGAACGGCTCGGCCTCTGCGCGCATGGCTGACGAAGAAGTAGAAGAGCAAAGTACCATCATCATCATCGTGATAGCAAAGATATGCATCAACCATCTGCCATTGCTGCACATGTTAGTACGGAGAGAACTGCAAAGCCGCGGTCCGCACTCTCTGGGCCAACCTCCTGACCTCGCCCTCATTCTCAGGTACTTCGTGCCCCACTGCCGCGAGGTAGCGCTTGACGTCCTCGATGGGCTTGGTCGACTCAGGGGCGCCCCCCTCACTGGGGCGGCCTGGGTCAGCACCACTTCCCTCAGCAAGGCGTGCTCGCTTGGCGCTGACCATCTCGGTGAGCTTCGTCTGAAGTAGCTGCGGCAGCGTCTCAGCCAGGGCGCCACCGCCCGCCGAGCGAACCATGTCCTGCAGGTCCGTGAGCTCGACTTTGACCTCGCCCAGCTGGCTAGGCTCTCCTGGCCGCTTTGGCGGCTGCGACGTGGCCATGCCCACCTCGCGAATCTTCTGCTCCACATCGATCTCCTGTTGCCGCAGCTGCTCGATCTGCGCGCACTCCCTGTCGATCGAAGCCTGGATCTCAGCAAGCTGAGCGCGCTTGGCCTCCACCAACTTCTCTGCCTTCTCAATCTTCGTCTTCGTCCAGGCCAGCTTGTCATTGAGCCCCGATAGCTGCACGGTGATGGGCTGCTTGGCGCGTAAGCTGGCCAAGATCGCATCCTTCTCCTGCTGTAGCCCATCACGATACGGGCCTGCAAACCGGGACTTGTCATCCGTGATGGAGTCCAGCAGGCCGTCGATTGCTGCGAGCCGCTCCTTCTGAGGATCGGTCGCTTCCTCGTGCTTATCATCGACGTCCATCGTGCTGGCATTCCGCTTGTTCTCCTGCTGCAGCTGCTCCTGGACGGACTGCAACTGCTTGCGCAACTGCTGAAGCTCCGGATCCTGCACGGCGCCACCTCCCTGGCCACTCCAACGCGGCCGAAGGGACACCGACGGCACCTGCGAGACCACATTCTTTTTGAAGGCCGCAGCTTTGCACGTCTTGCACTTAGCACACTCGAGGCGTTCGGCTCCATTGACCCAAGGCTTGCCAGTCGGGAGGCGCACGCACCACCGACACTACCACCTCAGCTGACGATCGTCTCTGCTCCCACCATTGTGAAATCCCATCTACACAATGTACAGAGTGGCAGGGGCGAGGGAATGGACAAGACTGGATGCTGCGTGGCCGGGCGGCACGCGCAGCGGAACGATGAAGAAATTGAGCACTGGCCGCGGACTAGCGGTATACACTTGTTTCCGCTGGGAAACCAAAGCCTTGAGCCAAAATGGCTGCGGATGTGGTCCAGACCTCTCAGGGCCTACGCATCGACAGACATCGGAGCGGCCGGATGTCTGGGCCCCAGCAGCACAAGACCGAACGAGGGCCCGGAAAAAAACGAGCCAGCGAGGGCCAGAGGAAGACACAACGGCGGAGGGACAGCAACCGAGCGAAAAGCCGAGGACCAAAACCCGCAGGGACAGCAGCCGAGCAAGGCAAAACTAAAGCAGGTACAGTCTCTTGCTTCGGCCGCATCCCTGGGACTGTTTTTTCTGCGTGGATCGCTTTCTCATGGTCCCTGGGCCGCCTTGGACCAGACCGGAGGAAACCCTGACCTTCCAGGAGGGCCACCAAAATAGCACCAGGACCTCGACGTCCAAATTCGGGTCGAGACCTCATGCAGTCCAGATAGGTCTACAAGTCGCGAGGGCAATATTCTAGCAATTGAACGGTCCAGGAAACCGCCCCTCGTTGTCTCCCCTCCCCCCCACACGACGCCTGGGGGCCTGGGGTGGTAGTAAAGCTTCCCATTTCCGACCCTGGAGACCTCCTTAATAGGGTCCGAGCCGTTAAGGTCGCAGGACCGCGCCGCATCGCCAATGATGCATCAGCGCCATCGTTGTGGAGAAACTGTGGCTCCACATCGACCCGCACCGTAAATGTATCGTCGGTGCGGGGTGATCCTTCGACCCCTTCTACTCGGACCCCATCTTGGAGGCCTACACACCGTGCTTTATGTTTCAACGATTGCATGGGTTATCGGGTAGGCTGGGGAGCGAGCTGCCAACCGATCACCTAACCTTTTCGCTATGGGCAGCCCCACGTACGCCCGCGCGCACCAGCACTGCGTTCCCCCTCCGGACATGCGCAACCGACAGGGTCAGCGTATCCGGGGGGAGAGGGCGGGGGGCGGGCGCGCCCGATAACCTGGGCTGTAACCTTGGTTGCCTTCCAGCCGAGCTCAATCGCCGCGGAAAAACGGAACACGGAGCGGCCAGCCTTGCAACAATCAGTTGTGCCTCCAGGGGGCTGGCCCCCGTACGCCCTGAGCCCTCTGGAGAACGGGCCCGAGATGGTGTGCACGCTGGCCCCCCAAAAAATGGGTTGAGAGCTTCAGGTGGGGGCCCGACACCCAGGACTATCGCCGGATTCCTTACGAAACTCTTTTTCGTCGGCGGCGAGGCAGAGGTTACCGCGCCAGCGGTCGAGCTAAACGGGGATACCGGAGAGCGAATTGCCCAGCATGCCAGAAGAGAGACTGAGACAGACAGGGCGGCCGCGGAGGCGGAGGGAGGAGGGGGGGACCTCAGAGGCGGAAGACTTCTAACCTGAGTGCGCTGGCACCCTCCAAGAAACAGCCACCTACAGAGAGGCCCGGGTGAGCAAGACCCGCCTCCGCCACCCGGGGGACGCCCCCGTCCCCATGGCGGCGGGCGGCGGGGCACGTCAGAAACACAGCGTGCCGTCGGACGCCAGGGAACTGCCGCATGCGAGTCGCGGGGCCACGCGATCCGAAGCGCACGAGGGGCGTTTTGACGCCACCTCGGCGCTACAGGTAACTCGTGTCACAAGCATGCGCGCCAAGGATACAAGGGCCTTGGGAGGGCCATGCTGACGTTGTCCGAGCGAGGCTGGCCAGCGAAAGTCGCTGAGGATGGGACGAAGGGGGCACCCTTCGGAAGGCTGCCCACAACCTGACTATGCGCCCAGACCCCCGACGTCATGATTTTTTCATGACGCGGCCCCCAGAGGTCCAGACCCATTCCCCAGGACCGGTTTTTCATCCCGAGTCGTTTTTTAACGGTCCCGAGGGCCGGTAAGGGCCCCCAGAGGCCGAAAATAGCGAAGAACCTCCTGTCGTGATTTTTTCACGACGCGAGGAGGTCTGGGCGGGTTGACTGCATCCAGGGCCACTCTGCATAGAGACCCGGGCGGGAGCCGCGAGCCGCCTCGGCCACCCGGCGAGGGCCCCCGCCCCCATGGCGCCGCGCGGCGGCGGGGCGACCTGCCCGGGACGGCGAACGGCCCCGGGGCGCCCCCGCCGCCGCCGCGCCCGCGACCGTCCCCCCTGGCGGCGCCGCCGCCGTCGTCGAGGCAGCCCCCGGCCGCCCCTCCGGCGATGGGCGGCCTCGGCGCGGCCCGCGCGCCCGCACTCTCTTCGCGGGGCGCGCGGGCGGCGCCGCCGCCGGCCCCTCGAGCCGGCGGCCTGGAGCCGACGGCGGGACCTCTTGCGACTGCGAGGGAGGAGGAGGGGGAGGAGACGATCGTGAAGAGGAGGAGGAGGCGGAGGAGGAGGAGAAGGGAAAGAGGAGGTGAGGGTGGATAGGGAAGGAGGAGGAGGACGAGGAGGAGGAGGAGGAGGAGGAGGAGGGGGAGAAGGAGGAGGAGGAGGCGGAGGAGGAGGAGGAGGGGAGGAGGAGGAGGAGGAGGAGGAGGAGGAGGAGGAGGAGGAACGAGAGGAGGGGGCCGCGCAGGAGGAGGGGGAGCATGAGAAGGACCAGTAGAAACACAGGACTCATCAACGATATTGCAATGAACCCTCCCACCAAGCTTCCTCCCCATAGGTCCCTACAATAACTAATAGTCACTGAAGGAAATGCCCCGTTGGAAGACAACCGTTTGAACATCCTGAACTGCGCCAGAACACCATTCATGGGACTTCAACGCCGCGAATCACAATTACTGTTGCCTCGTGACGATCCAGAACCGTGCCAAAGCACAACCCGGGGACTTCAATACCGCGAATCAGCAAAACTGTTGCGCCCTGACAATCCGACATCGTGCCAAAAGACAACTTCTGGGACGCTAGCCATGATGTTCCTTGAAACTGCTTTTGCTGGAGCGAGAACCACATTTGGAACAACAAATGCGCCCTCTATCTGTGGCACCTTTGCAATCGGTTTAAAGAATGCGCGCGGCACTTGAACGAGAACAACGAGTCCTTGAAAAGGGATCGCCCTACACCCATGCAGCTCTTGCAATGTGTTGAGACGAGTGCGGGCAGCGCTAAGCCGGTATAACTACCTTTGGGAAACGACCTGCCCTCCACCGGAAGAAACTCCGGCAAGGCATGAGAACCAATGTGCGGGGCGCTCCGGCGAGAACCCCGCTTTCAGAACGACCCGCCCTCCCTGGCCATCGCTCGGGCGTCCATGCCCCGTGTTTTTGTCTGTTTCGTGTGTGGCTTGTTCGCCAAATGATCAAGGATGCTCCTCGATGGTCCTCGCCGGAGGAAAAATGCACACGTCCGAGCGATGCCAAGTTCCACCTGTGAAACTCGTAACATTCGCTTAAACGAATGTGCGCGGCACTTCGGCGAGACCATGTGTAAAAAGCGGCCCGCCCGTGAGACACCTGCAAACTTCAATGGTAAAGTCTCAAATGGACCCCCCAACTCCCCCTGACGAGAGGCCTCCGGGTGCGACATGGAACAACCCCTTAGAAGGGCAAGGAATGGGAGGGAGGAAGGGGGAGAGGGGGAGGAGGATAAAGATGAGGACGCTAACATCCCCGTCTCCCTCCTCCCATCAGACTTCCCCTCCTCCCCCGATGGGTCCTCCACCCATTGACAACGGTCCGTCTCGGGGATCTGCTGGCCCGGGTCAATCCAGACCCGGGTCAGTCAGACGTTGCAGGATCTTGCAGGATCCTGCACCCAAGCCCGAGTCAGTGCAACCCTGGCCCTGCAGGATCCTTCAAAATCCGGCGCTCTGACTGGCCCCCGTTTGCATGGACCCCCGTCTCTTGAGCCCCGACGTCCACGCTCCGTGCACTTTCCGGCTTCGTGCACTTGTCCTTCGCGCGATGATGCAAGACGCTGCTCGATGGTCGTTACCGAGGCAAAGTGCACACAGCCGACCGACGCCAAGTCTGAGCCTACGATCGGGTACGTTTGTGCTCAGCGTGCCGGGGTGGCGGCCCCAGCGACACTCTGCCCCCCTGCGAGCGGAGTCAGCGTGCCGCCCCGCTTCGCGGGGCTCGGACAGTTACGTGGTCGGAAGCGCGCAGAGCGCTCGTGGGCGACGCCTGCAGAGACGCTGGAAAGCATGCCCGAGGGGCCTGCCCGGACGCTTCTTCTCTGAAGCCTTGCCAGCCCCCAGAGAGCTTTGTAGAGGGGGAGGAGGAGGAGGAGGGGGAGGAGGGGGAGGAGGGGGAAGAGGGCGAGAAGGGGAGGAGGGGGAGGAGGAGGGAGGAGGGGAGGAGGAGGAGAGGAGGAGGAGGAGGAGGAGGAGAGGGAGGAGGAGAAGGAGAGGAGGAGGAGGAGGAGGAGGAGGAGGGAGGGAGGGAGGGGAAGGGAGGGAGGGGTTCACTTCACTCGGGAACTCCCGAGCGAAGTGACCCCAACCTCACCCTCAGAAATCGTGGGGGGTAGGGGTAGTGTTCGCACGTGGCCCCCTCAGGGAGCTCGAACACGCAGACCGGAAACGTAGGCCTTGGGAGGCAACTGCTGGGAGGTCTTCTAAGGAGCCGAACTCCATACACCGACGCTTTTTCCGGCCCCGCACCGAAACTCGCAGAGGAAAGCGGATCCTGGTGTATACGGGATCTTGGCTACTATACATGTTTTGCTGTTTCCACGGGGAAACGGGGAAAATAGTATACACCACACCACTCCGACGTCGTGACCGACCCTCCAAAGGGGGTGGGACTGAGAAACAGCCCGCCACTGGTGATGTATGTGTTCAAATTTCCGACTTGGGAGGCAACTGCTGGGAGGTCTTCGTCGGAATGCTGAAGGAGGGTCAGGCCCCAATGTGGAGCTACTGCGCCGGATTAGGCCGCAGATTGAGCAGGATCGAGCGGGAATAGCCCGGATTGAGCCGGATTTCGGACCAGGGCAGAGTTAAAACTTGACCTCCCAAGAGCTGCATCCAAATAGGTCAGCCGCGATGCGTTCGCAAAGACGTGGGCCAACACGATGAGCCAATACGCAGCGCGTTGACACCAATGTTTTGAAATTCGGAACGTGTTGCGTTTCAAAACGGGTGCATCTGACTACCTACCAGACCACCCCAACCCAACCCGAAGACCCGAATTTCGGGTTGGGGGGGGTAAGGGTTCCACACGTGTTTTTTAGATGTTTCCCGACCCCCCCCCACTGGAAATCGAGGGTAAATCTGAGCCTTCGGGTTGGGTTGGGGTGGTTTGGTGGGTGGTGAGCATCAGGGCACTTACCCCCCTGAGCAGTCGAACATCGGCACCTGGACCTGCCCTCGGGTGCGATCTGACCAGAACTTCGAGCCAGATCCGGCCGCTGCCTCGAGGGCGCCGCAGGAGGATAAGAAACGTCCACAGCGCCGAACATCGAGCCTCGAACCACGATGCCCGCACCTATCTTTAGAGGCCTCCCAGATGGCATCCGAGCAGATGGGGTCGGAGGAGCGCGCCACATCGCCAATACATCGGCGATGCATCGGCGACGCATCGTCGACGTGGGCGATGCATCGGCGACGTCGGCGTGGAGAACATCGAGCTCCACATCGAGCTGCATCGCCGGAGCCTCGGCGGTCCGCGGCGCGATCCTCCGACCACGGCTGCTCCGACCCCATCCGAGAGGCCTATAGATCTGACCTCGATGCGTCCACGCCCGCCGTCGCTGCCCGCCCCCCCGCGACGAGGACGAGGAGGGGGAGGGCAGTGGAGGACGAGGACGAGGTCGAGGAGGAGGAGGGAGAGGAGGAGGAGGAGGAGGAGGAGGAGGAGGAGGAGGAGGTGGAGGAGGAGGAGGACCGAGGTCTGAGGTATGAGAGAGGACGAGGTCGAGGAGGAGGACGAGGTCGAGGACGAGGTCGAGGACGGGAGGGAGGGCAGCAGTGGAGGAACGAGGTCGAGGAGGGGAGGAGGAGGACGGGTTAGTGGAGGGAGAGGAGGGGGGAGGAGGGGGAGGGGGAGAAGGAGGCCCTGGGGGTCGGCCAGCAGATGCGGACCCAACTCCAGGGGCCCAGGCGCCCGACCGAGGGAGGAGGGGCCCGAGCCGCGGGCAGGCGGCAACCCCGCCCGTGGGCGGGCACCGCGCGCGAAGGGCGCGCGCGCGGCGGGCGGGCCGTCTGCCGCGACTGGGCCGCCACGTCCTGGCCGCCCCGGGTGCTCATCTGGCGGGCCGCCGCCCCGGGCGCGGCTTCCGCTCGCCGCGCGCGGCGCGCGCGCGCGCGGCGCGCGCGCGCTCGGCCAGCGCCGCCGCCGACGCCGACGACCACGACGACGGCGGCGACGGCGGCGACGACGGCGACGACGGCGACGACGGCGGCGGCGGCGGCCACGGCGGCGGCGCCGTGGGAACGGGCGCGCGCGCACACGCAAGGGCGACGCGGCCCACTGCCCCCTCACACCACCATCTTTGTCAATACGCTGAAAAGGATCCGATCCACCTCCTTTTCTTCTCCTTTTTCCTCCTCCTCCTCATCTCCTCCTCCTCGCCCTCTTCATATTTCCTCTTCCTCCCACCCCCCCCTCATCCTTCTCTTCCTGGCCCTCCTCCTCCTCCGCCTCCTGCTTCTTGTCCTCCTCCTCGTCCTCTTCCTCCTCCTCGTCCTCCTCATCCTCCTCGTCCTCCTCTTCCTCCTCCTCCGTTTTTCCGTTTTCACCTTAGACAAATTCCGCCGACCTTGTTGGCGTGTGGAAGAGGCTTTTCTGTCTTCCCCACAACGTCGTCGCCTCTTCTACTTTCCGAGGGCTCCCTACACAAGTCAACACAAAAATGGAACAGCGTCGTCCTCCAGTCGAAGGGAAGCCCCTTCCCTTGATCGCTTCCCCGCCGGGGGGGGGTCCCGGGGCAACTCCCGGGGGGGGTCCCCTTTCGGATGCGCAGCCCCCCGTCTCTCATCCTCCTGCGTCCTGGGGTTCCGTTGGCCCTCCGAGGCCGTCTGCGGGCCCTTTCAGCATATCTTAAGGCTCCTTGGAGACCTTTCGCCAGTTTTAAGACTGGCAGCCGCTGGCGGCACTCTTGACAGCCTCTGCGGGCGCTTTTGGACTCGCTCGACGCCGTCTTGGAACCCTCTCGGGGCA